CCTCCCAAGTAGCTGGGACCACAGGCGCCCGCCACAACGCCCGGCCATTTTTTGGTTGCAGCCATCGTTGTCTGGCGGGTCCGGGCTGGGGATTCGAACCCGCCACCTTAGGTGTACGTGGCTGGCGCCTTAGCCGGTTGAGCTATAGGCGCCGAGCCAGGACCTGGTATTTCTTAAGGCTCTGTAAGATATTTTCACATGCAGTGAGTGCTGCAAGAGAAGCACGTGAATTTGTCTTCCAGCAGGGCCTGGCCAGCCATCTGCTGCAGCATAACTGAGAGTCCCCCAGGGATCATCTAAGCATCTTGAGTTCTGCAGGCAATTGTCTTTAAAACTGAACAAGATTCATTCTTGCATTCAGAGATGTTAAATTCCAACATTATGGCAAAAGGAAGATGAATACGAGGACAAATTTTGTTAATGTTACTTTTAAGCAGGACGGGCATGGTGGCTCACTCTGTAATCCTAGCATTTGGGGCGGCTGAGGTAGATGGATTGCTTGAGCTCAAGAGTTCGAGACCAGCCTGACGAAGAGTGAAACCCCTTCTCTAAAAAGTAGCCTGGCGTTGTGGTAGAAGCCTGTACTCCCAGCTACTGGGGAGGCTGAGGCAAGAGGATCACTTGAGCCCAAGAATTTGAGGTTGCTGTAAGCTATGATAGCATAGCACTCTACTGAAGGTGACAAAGTAAGACTCTGGTCAAAAAAAAAAAAAGAAAAATTGCTTTTGAGCACTTCTACTATTCTTATCCTTGGACCCTCTGATTCACTGTGATGGCCTTAGAGCATTCGTGAACCAAGGAAATATCTGATCACTGGCTTATGTCGAAAACCCCTGGGCCCTGAAGTACACCATGTCTTTGATCAACAGGATACCTCTTCCTCTTTATTTGCAGCAAATTTGGATGTGTATGACTTCCATGTGGCCAACTTCGTATCATCCTAACTAAGAAGAACTATCTCACATCCTCAACTGTTGTTCTTCAACCTGTCTTCAAGTCTTGTCCATGCTACTTTACTCTAATTCCTCTCTTTTAATCCATTCCTATCAATATTACTTGATTACTTGATAACTTGATTTAAGAGGCTCCTAATTGGTCTTTGCCTCTCTCCTTTTCCCCAAGCAGTCCCTCCCCCCAACCCTCCTCTTCACTTCACTCAAATATGGCCAATCACCTGCCAACCAAATCCAGGTGCTCTGGCATGGATGGTTCCGATCTTGGCTGTTTCATTGGAATGCAACAATCATTAAGTTTTTATTGTTTCAAGTAAATGTTCCCCAGTAGGAAATGTTGATAAATTATACCAAATTTAATGGGTCCTTAAAAAAAAAACTTACTAGGCTCGGCGCCTGTGGCTCAAGCGGCTAAGGCGCCAGCCACATACACCTAAGGTGGCGGGTTCGAATCCCCATCCTGGGCCCGCCAAAACAACAATGATGGCTGCAACCAAAAAATGGCCAGGCACTGTGGCGG